GCCAGCTGGAGAGGTGTGAGGTTCGAACTCCAGCAACCTGAGGCTGATAGCTTTGTGGAAGCAGCCACTTAAAGGCCTGAGCTAGGGCCAGGCCCCCTAGAGTGTAAGCTCTTAATCTCACTGTGAACTTAGTAATGAACAGCTCTCACACAAACACTTATGAGTGGCAATGGGGTTTGGCCATCTTAGACACAGTTCATCAGAACAGATGTACAGTAAGTCTCACCTTAGTGGGAGATGAATGCTAGCATATTACATATAGTACAGAATTCTGAGAACAGGAATTTTTTTCTAAGGTGCTTTAACTCATTTTATCTGTAATAAACCCTAAAAAGTAAGAGTTATACTCTATAGGGCAGTATATTTCAGTCAGTGGGGATGGCAAAATAGCTCAGTGGACTAAGCACCTGCTTAGGCAAGTGCAGGGAACAGGGTTTGGTCCTCGGCACCACATGCAGCACTGGGCCTGAGATTGGGTGTGGTGGTGCATGCCTGTAATCCCAGCACAGTGGAGGCTGAAAACAGGAGGCTCGACGACAAGTCTGAGCTGCACAGTGAGACCCTGTTTTAAATACATTAAAAATAAGTAAATTTCAGTCAGTGGCAGGGACCAAAATAGGTCTTTTTCATTTCTTAACCGCTGTGAAAACTAGAAAGTAAGAGGATGCTACACAGAAGCCTCACCTTTAGTGATACTGAGTGTATTATCACCACTTGCTACAAAGTCATAAAGTGCAACAAAGAGATTAGGGTCACTCTCAGTGGCTCCAAGTAAGTTCTCCTTGGAGCTCCACCGGATGGCTTCATTCAGTGCCTGGGATTCAACATCACAACCGTAGGGGCGGTGCAAAGCTTCTGAAAGACACAAAAGGGGAAAGGAATTGGTAAACACAGTATTTCAGCGGCTGGTCTGACAACTCCAAAGTGGGATAGAACTGTACAGTATAGGCAGCATGAAGGAGGAGCATCTCCTAAGCATGAGGCTGTCATTTGCTTGTTGAAAATGTAACAAAATAGTGAAAAGACCACGAAATAAGAGTTCAGCTCTGATTTATATGTATTTACTAAAATCAGACATAAATTAATAGCACAAGCACAGGTTTTTCCAAATGAATTTAAGAACTGCTAGCGCTGTAAAACACTGAGGCTATGTTGTTGTAGAACAAGAAATGGTTATGTCTTGCAAGGATTTTATGAATTCAGACCCTTTGTTATAAATATAAAATAAACGTAAATATAAAAATTATAGAAATACTGCCTCTGGCAAAACAATCCTAAAATTATCTGGCAAGTATAAAAACATGACTTGGTTTAATACAGAATATCCTTGACATCCAAAGTATGTTTTAATATTACAATGACTTATTACTCTTCATTGTTTTAGTAAACTTTTTCTTTTCTAATGCCAATTTTTTTCCTGGGCAGATTTTTGAAAAATGTTGATAATTCAATCAAAGTTCTAGAAAATACAACCATAAATGGAGATTCATCAAGTTTCTCTACGTGCAGTAGCTGAAGACCTGTAAGACCTACTTCTTCAAGGTTTCACATTTTTTATATTTATGTTTCCTATACAGGTAAATCTCAGTATCATCTTGAAGACCACCTGCTTTCCAAAGTGAACTATCCAACTGTAACATAACATTTTATATTATGTTTCTCTCTTTCCATTTAGTGTTCATTTAAAAATGCTGTCATCATATAAGGAAAACCCATGAATCTGTGGTTTTATTATTTCAAGTCTATCCCCTCTTCTCTATCTCTACTTCCATGCTTTAGTTCCAATCCCCGACGTCTCTCACCTGGACTACTGCCTCCAGTCTTGTCTCCCTCAAATCCATCCTCCACACAGCTGGCAAAGTGATCTATGTAAGACAAAAATTTGACCACATCACTTTTCTTAAATCTCAACAGTTCGTCATAAAACTGAAGTGTCCTTATCATGGCCCTCAAACTTTTCAGGATCAGTAAATGAAGACCTACTTCTGCAGCTTCCCCTCACCCTTCTCCACACCTCTTTAACACATACAGTGCTGCTGCGCCCCTTTTGGTCACTGTTCATGCAGCCTAGTACACCTGGAACGGGTTCTCGGCCTCTTGTTTGGAGACTGGCTGACTTCTCATTTCACAACACTCTGCTCTGCTAGGAACCAAAAAGTTCCCCCTAGGAAAGTTAATGCCCACCCATCCACTCAAAAGCATGACACCCTTTCTATGCGGGTTTTCCAAACTTCATCATATACTTTCACTCAACCTGCCAAAGCAAATTATCCAACTGTCTGTATCATATATTTTTTATGTCTCTTTTTTATTTAATTTTAATTTAAAATTGGCTTTATCATATTTTAAAAGGAAAAAACTTTAAATTTATGGTTTTACTTTAAGTTCTCTCTATATATTATTTTTCTATACTTCATAATGTACTCCTTAAGGATAAGAACTGAGTCTTTTTCAGGGGGTGTCAAAGATTAAATGTGGGGTCCTGAATAGACCCAGAGCGCAGGCCCGGCATGTGAGTGAGACTGCCGGGGCCGCCAGATCCCGAATAGACCCAGAGCGCAGGCCCAGCGTAGAACCCTGCAGTAGAACTCCCCGCAAAGAGGCTAGAGGCAAGACCCACCAGCTGATTCAGGAGCAGAACATCTTGCCAGAGTAACACAAAGGGTTCAACTCCAACAGCTGCAGCAGGAAGAAGTAGAGCATAGCAGTCAGACCACAAGCAACACCCGCCTGGAGGAATCTGAACTTTGTAGATCCAGATTTGGTCCTAAGGTAATAACTCTATCTAAGCTCTACATCAAACGTCAAAAGACAGTGGTATACAAAATGACAAAGAGAAGGAACAAAATGCAGTCTCAGGTCCCAAGTCCACCCAGTACAAATGCAAGACACTAGCACTGAGGAAACTGGAAATCACACACCTGAAATCCCTGAAACAATAGCATTGGAAGTAAAGAAACAACTGCAGAAAGGTATAGAAGAAATCAGATCAGAAATAATTTCTGAACTAAAAAATTTAGTGATAACTATAATCAAAGAAGTACTAAGTGCTTTAAAAGAATACACTGTTAAAAAAATAGAGCAGAATATAAAAATGATGGAACCCTTGAATAGGCAATTTAGAAGAGAAATAGAATGTATAAAACAGGTTCAAAGTGATATACAGGAAATTAAAACCTCAATCACAAGCTGGCAAAACTGTTTGAGTGAAAGTGAAAATAGACTTTCTGACCTTAAAGACACCATTGCAGCTAGTGAAAAAGTAAGAAAAGATCTCTTTAAAACAACTAGGATGGTCCTTTTTCTCTCAGAGTGCTTCCTCCTCACCCCGGCCACGTGAGGCTGCGGCGCACGGACTCGACTCAGGTGAAGCTGCAGAGCTGCCTCTGAGCCCTGACCCCTTGGCTCCCTGGGTCGGAGGAGATCTTGTAATGGAGTGGTTCCTTGTCTCACACTAACAAGATGCCTCATTTCCTCAGGATCGAGGGATTGAAGAATGTCTCGGGTTCCATTGGGGAAGGTCCTCCTTAGGAATGTCATCCGGCACACAGATGCTCACAATAAGATCCAAGAAGAATCAGATATGTGGAAAATAAGAGAAATAGAGAAACAGATGGAGGATACTTATCAAGAAACCAAAAGGAAAATGTTGCCCAGCAGTTCAAGTCAGATGCGTAGTGATGGATTTGATGAAGAATGTCAGAGAGAATATTGGAGGCCAAAGACTGAAATTTCTGGAACACTGGAAGATGATTTTCTTAAACCCAAATCCTGGAACAAGAAGTTGTATGATTATGAAGCTAATATGCCAGACAGATGGGGTCACAGTGGTTATAAGGAGTTATACCCTGAAGAATTCGAAACAGACAGTGATCAGCAGGATATTACCAATGGGAAGAAAACATCTCAGATAAA